GATTACAAGATAGCTTTACCATCATAACGTAAGTGCTATTAAAATATGAAGGAGAGATATTGATATTAATTGTACAAAAATAGCTTCATATTGGATTACAAGATAGCTTTACCATCATAACGTAAGTGCTATTAAAATATGAAGGAGAGATATTGATATTAATTGTACAAAAATAGCTTCATATTGGATTACAAGATAGCTTTACCATCATAATGTAAGTGCTATTAAAATATGAAGGAGAAACATTAATATTAATTGTACAAGAATAGCTTCATATTGGATTACAAGATAGCTTTACCATCATACCGTAAGTGCTATTAAAAGCTACTGTTCTGTTCAGCTCAAGCTAACTTTGAAAGAGACATCAAAACAGGATAATTAGGTCATATTAGCAATAACATTTCATAATATGTCATTTGAAATACCATATTCCACTAAATAATTTATTTTATCACAACTGTACAGGTTTATCTTGAGGCCACTAACTTTGAAATCTTTCGTTTTAATGGTTGATATGATTATGAAATCCTTAAGTCCATAACAACACAGATATCATTTCAGTAAACTTCAAGCAGAGTAGACATAGTAGGTTTGAGAAGGCCTAGACATAGTAGGTATGAGAAGGCCTACGCAAAGTAAGTTTGAGAAGGCTTAGACATAGTAGATATGAGAAGACCTAGACATAGTAGGTTTGAGAAGGCCTAGACATAGTAGATATGAGAAGGCCTAGACATAGTAGATATGAGAAGGCCTAGACATAGTAGATATGAGAAGGCCTAGACATAGTAGGTTTGAGAAAGCTTAGACATAGTAGGTTTGAGAAAGCCTAGACATAGTAGGTATGAGAAGGCCTATGCAAAGTAAGTTTGAGAAGGCTTAGACATAGTAGGTTTGAGAAAGTCTCAGCCAAAACGTTGTCCCTTTTCATTTAACATGCAGTTTTAGCCCAGTAAACCAGCAGAGATATTTTATTTGTTTAAGATAGGTTTGTTGGAACTGTTTAGGCATATTTCTTCCAAAAATGTGGTGGAAGACTACAGAATTTAAAAATCACGTTACTGGTCAGCCATAATGACATAAAGCTAATATGAACTACATGAAAAAACAGTTTGAAATTAATTATTACTATTGTAGAAACCCTAGTGATAAGTATACTAAAATCTTAAGACACTGTAGCACCACACTGGGCTTCAATAACAAGTTTTGATTGGTGTTTTGAAATCTTAAAAAACAGAATTGTCAGTTCCTTGCAACTGAAAGGCTTTCCAATGAACCCCTTCAAACAGTCCCAAAATTGGCTCAGGTACACTGTAGAAGAGAACATTAATCTCCAGAAATAAAACTGGCCTACTGACCAAAAACTCTAAGAATGACAAGTGAAGCATGTTCACTTATGATATCCATTTACACATATATCTCAACAATTATTGATATCCATTTACACATGTATCTCAAAAATTATTGATATCCATTTACACATGTATCTCAACAATTATTGATATCCATTTACACATGTATCTCAACAATTATTGATATCCATTTACACATGTATCTCAACAATTATTGATATCCATTTACACATGTATCTCAACAATTATTGATATCCATTTACACATGTATCTCAACAATTAGTGATATCCAATTACACATGTATCTCAACAATTATTGATATCCATTTACACATGTATCTCAACAATTATTGATATCCATTTACACATGTATCTCAACAATTATTGATATCCATTTACACATGCATCTCAACAATTAGTGATATCCAATTACACATGTATCTCAACAATTATTGATATCCATTTACACATGCATCTCAACAATTAGTGATATCCAATTACACATGTATCTCAACAATTATTGATATCCATTTACACATGCATCTCAACAATTAGTGATATCCAATTACACATGTATCTCAACAATTATTGATATCCATTTACACATGCATCTCAACAATTATTGATATCCATATACACATGTATCTCAACAATTATTGATATCCAATTACACATGTATCTCAACAATTACTGATATCCATTTACACATGTATCTCATCAATTATTGATATCCATTTACACATATATCTCAACAATTATTGATATCCATTTAAACATATCTCAACAATTATTGATATCCATTTACACATGTATCTCAACAATTATTGATATCCATTTACACGTGTCTCAACAATTATTGATATCCATTTACACATGTATCTCAACAATTATTGATATCCATTTACACATGTATCTCAACAATTATTGATATCCATTTACATATATATCTCAACAATTATTGATATCCATTTACACATATATCTTAACAATTATTGATATCCATTTACACATGTATCTCAACAATTATTGATATCCATTTACATATATATCTCAACAATTATTGATATCTATTTACACGTGTCTCAACAATTATTGATATCCATTTACATATGTATCTCAACAATTATTGATATCCATTTACACATATATCTCAACAATTATTGATATCCATTTACATATGTATCTCAACAATTATTGATATCCATTTACACATATATCTCAACAGTTATTTTATAAATATACACTTCTATTCCAGAAGTTCTTTATCTTGCATCTGATATTTAAACCTGCAATATATATACACTTCAACAACTTATCACTGTTTACAGAGTTGGTCCAATGATCGACACCACATTGGAAAAGCAATGTTTTCTATAATTCTGAACTTACTATACATATCTTCACAAAAACTCTGAATTTTTAATAATGTATTTTTACAAAAGATTAGCCTGTGAATTTACTTTACTGAGTAAATATGAGGTAATTTTCATGCTAAAAATAAAAATACTTTTCTTCAGCTTATAACATTCCTATTTAATTTGTATAACCTAAGAAACCTCATAAATGAAAATCACAAGTATTTTTCAGTAAAACTTTATTTTATTCAAATCTAGTTTCATTCAGTTATTTTATTTTACAATTACATTTAAACCAACTAAGAGTACACTAAAACCATTTATCAGTTATTTTACTTTACTATTACATTTAAACCATGTTAGAATACACTAAAACCATTTATCAGTTATTTTACTTTACGATTACATTTAAACCAACTTAGAATACACTAAAACCAATTATCACAACATAAAAGCACTGTTAAACAAAACTTAGAATACACTATAATCATTTATCAGTTATTTTACTTTATAATTACATTTAAACCAACTTAGAATACACTAAAACCAATTATCACAACATAAAAGCACTGTTAAACAAAACTTAGAATACACTATAATCATTTATCAGTTATTTTACTTTACAGTTACATTTAAACCAACTTAGAATACACTATAATCATTTATCAGTTATTTTACTTTATAATTACATTTAAACCAACTTAGAATACACTATAATCATTTATCAGTTATTTTACTTTATAATTACATTTAAACCAACTTAGAATACACTATAATCATTTATCAGTTATTTTACTTTACAGTTACATTTAAACCAACTTAGAATACACTAAAACCAATTATCACAACATAAAAGCACTGTTAAACAAATGTCTCAGTTACAATCATGCCACATTATGGGCATATTATTGTGTTAATGTAGGATGCTGAGTATCACAAGAAATGTTATTTAATTTTTTTTTTTTAAGTTTTCTTGTCTAACCAAATAAGTTTCTAATTTTTATATTTAAATTACTTTGATAAAAATAATTAAAAGATATACATAAAAAGCAAGAAATTTACTCCTTGCATCCAGATTCGGACTTTTTTCCCGTTGATGAAAAGGCAATTTAAATGTACATTCTAAGACAATGTTCCTGGTCCACAAAATTTGTGTTTATTTCATATATGTATCTTAGAATACAAAATTATATCATGCACTACACCAGAATATCCCCAAAATACTTATAACTTAACTGCATTTCTAACTAAGCTATAAATAGGTTTAAAAAAATTTCTTTAGCTAGTTAAAGTTGAATGCCACAACCTCAAACATTGAAACTGAGGCCAAAGACCTAATTACAAGTAGAAATACAAAATAATCCCTTCAAAGAATTTTTTAACTAAGCAGCTACTCTAAATATCAATGAGAACTAATGACACATTATGAAAGACAGTATGGTACAGGATGAGTGTATCACATGGGTTTCAGATTTTTTTTTTTAATCTTGGACAACTGGAGGTTCTGGCTTGTCAATATCTATGGCATTAATTTGTAATTATGTGGACATACTGAAACCCATAAAAGTGTAAAATGAAAATCTAAAATGTGCAATTCAGATCAGAACGACATCATATGACACAGATATCATATGACAAGTTAAGAGAGAGAACTAATTTAAATATTTTGTTTTGAAATTAAGAAAAACTTATATAATCTAAAAATTTGAATTAAAAATGTTTTGATGCCAAGCTTACTGACATACTTTAACCATAAAATACTGTCTTTCCACTCGCTGAAAGTAGGTAACAATGTGCTAATAACATTAAAAATAATGGATACATCCAGCATAGATAACAAAAAATCAAAGTTTATTTACAGGTTTTTCACATTTTAAAATGATGACAACAAATTATAAATGAATAAAAACCCTATAACCTGAGCACTTTTGAAAGGTAGACCTTTATTCTTCAGGGGCAAACTGGGAATTATAAATTATAAAAGTGAGCATCCACTAAAAAGCTCTTCTGAAACCTAAATTATAAACAAAGCACAGCAAGGCAGAATACTAATTCCTGAAATCTTACACAGACCTAAAGAATGTCCATATTATATGTAGAAGTCTCTTGGCTATTTCTACAGATGATTTACACACTTTTACAATCTCAACAGCTGAACATTTGCTATACTTTATCAGTGCTTTCAACTGACCTAAAAAGTTCTATTTAGATTATGTATTATTAAGATACAAGTACCTCATGCACAGTACATAACAACACTCGGGTATACAGGATAGGTAAGTAGTAAGCATTTCATTTAAGTAAAACCAGCTTTAATACATATTTTCTGTAAAATATTACAAAACATAAATAACCAAAATGATAAGTTTATCAGCAGAGAGGGTAGCAAGAATTGTAGCAGGATGGATTTTTTTTCACATTGAAATCTAATCTTAGAAGCAATTTTTATACATACTAAATTACTGAAATGGTTAATTTTTTAGTTATAACTCTCATATGAGAGTAAGTATGATCCAACAATGCTAATATACCAGTAGTTACAAGTCAAACTTACCACAAGACATCTATCCACCATGATTTGGATCATTCCTTCTTGTTTTTTCTTCATGTGGCACACTCGTAGTTTGTCATCAGCACCTCCAACAACCACAAGACCTGTTTCAGCTGTCATGCGTTCACGAAAGTCTTCTATGTCATCCATTGAACACATGCTGGCATTTTGCCCAACAAGGAAAAGAGTTGGGGTATTAATGTCCAGAAGTGGATCATCCAAATCCTGCATAGTGTCATGTAAATCAATCGGATCATCAAAAATCTGATTATACTGACTGTCCCAAAAATAATCAACTAATCAAAATTACTGTTTCTGGTTATTATCACTTTCAATTATTCCAACAATTAATTAAAAATCTGATTATACTGACTGTCCCAAAAATAATCAACTAATCAAAATTAGTGTTTCTGGTTATTATCACTTTCAATTATTCCAACAATTAATTAAAAATCTGATTATACTGACTGTCCCAAAAATAATCAACTAATCAAAATTACTGTTTCTGGTTATTCCAACAATTCGTACAATTCTCAATTTACTTCATGTATCTTTGTGAAATTTTAGTAAACATTAAATCTTTTTTACACTAAAAATCAATCCAAATATTTTTACAAAAGATTTTCTGTGAATACATGGAATCCAAGAGGTGACTAGTCCAAGTGCAAGGTGATTTTCATGTTAAGATTAAAAATTCTTGTTATCTTAGTTTTCAAATTTCATTTTCTTAACATCAAAAACCTCCTAAATTAATATCAAACATTTTTCTTCATTAAAACTTTATATTTTATCTGTTATTTTCTCTACCCTAACTCTACACAGACGATTTGATTTTCTTTGTAAACATCACAAAAAATACAAAATAAATCTAAATTACCCTTTTATTCTTTCTAGAATGACTGCAAATTGTAACACAAAAGCACAATTATTTATCTTAAAACAACTTGAGGGTCACAGCACTTTTATATCTGTTAATATTTAATTTTATTGCTCTCTGAGCCATATCTAACTAACAGTCCTGTAATGCAAGCTATAAATCCCTTGGTGAATGTATAAATTAAAATATCAAACTGAATGGTGTAACACAAACTATTTATGAGACAATTTTTTAGTATTATTTTTTCATTATCTAACCTAACAATTTTCTATTTTTACATTTTAGTTACTTTTATAACAATAACTAAAATATACATAAAAATAAATTTATTACTTACATTTGACATTTTTGTTTTTGCTATTGGCCTGCCAACTTTTTTGTATTGATAGTACTAGTATATTAAATCATTTTTATTTCATATATGTACTTAAGAGCACGAGATTATAAACACACACACAAAGCAAACAATCTCCTGTAACTATTACACTGTAACTGGTTTTCTAATTAAGGCATAATTGTCTTACAGTAATTTGTTTAGTTACTCAATTTTAACTCACCGAGTGATAGCAATTTTCAAAATGTAGGTAAAATAACCAAAAATTTCTCCTGAGAAAATTATTGGCAATTTGTGAAAGAGAATGTGATGGGTGGGTGTTGCAAATGAGTCTGACTTTATGTCTCCGTGAACAAAAATTATTGAAAGCTATAAAAGTGGGACTATACCTTAATAATATCCATATTATAATGAGTAATTTAAGTTAATCTCAAAGAGGGGTGATGAAAAAGTAACGGACAAGTCAGAGTGAAGAAATGTCACAATTTAAGTAGAAGATGAGGTTAAGAATATATTTAAATATTTCTTTTTGAAATTAAGAAAGTGAAGCTTATGTAATATTAAAGTTTAATCAATTAACTATGTTGTCATGCCACATTTATTCATATGCACTGACAACACAATAGTTTAACTTCTGAATGCAACTCTGTACGAAACTGTCATAACATGTGCACTTTGGCTTACCCGTAGTAATAGGGTTAATCACAATTATGATTCAATTGACGGTCATGAAAATAATCAATCAAGAATCTCAGGTTCAATCCCTATTGCCACTAAAGTTTCTTACTCTGTCTTTGTTATGACAAAGCTATTAAGGCTATCTGCCACTGTCACTAATCTTAAACTGATGACTAGAGGGAAAGCAACTGTCTGCCACACCCACCATCAACCTTTTATTTTTCTGCTTGTACATACCATGGTTTGATGAACACTGTACTAATCAATTAATTGAATGAACTGATTAATGGGACTGACCATTAATTTTTCCAGCACTACATTTCAACAAAACCACAACTAATTTATAAATTCTGTTTACAAAAATAATACACACTGTTTTATTTTGAACTCAGTACCAATATCAAACACTAATCACATTCATATGGACACCTAATCAATATACATCAAACACTAATCACATTCATATGGGCACCTAATCAGTATATATCAAACACTAATCACATTCATATGGGCACCTAATCAATATACATCAAACACTAATCACATTCATATGGGCACCTAATCAATATATATCAAACGCTAATCACATTCATATGGGCACCTAATCAGTATGAATGTGATTAGCGTTTGATATATATGGGCACCTAATCAATATATATCAAACACTAATCACATTCATATGGGCACCTGATGACATTTTGAAGCACTAAAATTACCAAAATCTTCTTTATACTCCCAAAGTAATGTGTGCTAGTACAAGATTACACTGGTTGTAATTCTTACATTAATACTAGATGTAGTTTTTTCTGTTTATAACAGTAATGGTGTAAATTTTTTTCAGCTACATTTACATAACAGCACTGGATATATTAATTTTTATTTACACAGAAATGATACTGATTACTTAGTATTATCTATCCAATACACTTTAATTAAACCCAACATGCTATAATATTTCAACAGTCGTGCATGCTATCAGGCAACAGCTATGACATGTTTAATAAAAGTGCTAAGATTTTCATAAAACACAATGTTTATATAACAGTATGCCTTGTATAATACATGACTTTTAAATATGATTCAGCCTACAATTGTAGCAACTGGTGACAAAAACAAGTTTCTATGGTAGCTCTAAAACGGAGTTCCATAGCATGAAATTATGCTTTTTTACAACAAAAATTTAAAAAGAACAGAAACAAATTGGCTTTTGGCAGTTATAAAAGAAAAAAGTTAAAAACCCACCACCAATGCATAGTATAAATGTTTTTAGTCCCATGATATTTGGAGTTTCTCTCAGATACATTGAAAATGATGTTAATGACTCATCAAATACTTTTGTGGAATAGTTGTCTCATTAAAATATGTTTACGTTAACCCAATGCTTTACATTCAGCTGTACGTATAATTTCAGATAGAAATACCAAATGGTGGTAAAACTCAAAACAACATAACTCAACACAGGCTGGTGAGTGAGACTTGAGCCTTTCTTTTCAAGCAAATGTTAAAAAAATAAAAAAATAAAACAAGTTTTTACAATAATCAATGATTACTAAGTTTCTTTTTGGTAGATGTTCTACATAAAGATACCCTTACATCGGACTTTTATAATAACATTGTTGTTAGTTTAGAATAACAGGTGAGAAAAGCTTCTTTCTCTGAAGCTGTGTGACAGGGTTGTTTCCTTTATAATAACATTATTATTAGTTTAGAATAACAGGTGAGAAAAGCTTCTTTCTCTGAAGCTGTGTGACAGGGTTGTTTCCTTTATAATACATTATTGTTAGTTTAAAATAACATGTGAGAAAAGCTTCTTTCTCTGAAGCTGTGTGACAGGGTTGTTTCCTTTATCATAACATTATTATTAGTTTAGAATAACAGGTGAGAAAAGCTTCTTTCTCTGAAGCTGTGTGACAGGGTTGTTTAGGAATATTTTGTCTTTTTGAGTAAAAACATTTTATTCCATATGCAATCACAGCACTTAGCACACTGGTACATAAGCTACAAGTGAATCTAGGTGCTGCTTCAAGCCACAAAACTCTTGTAGAAGTATCTATACTAAAAAGAGCAACAGATTCAAATTAAATTTTTAAATATTTTGTACCATTAAACATATAGGATGTTTTCATTGTTTTTGTTATAACAATGTAATACAGTGATCAATATTTTAAATCAAATTCAGGGTGGTCACATTATTATCAAAATTTCTTTCCTGACTTTCCAGAGAAAATTCTAGATATTCCAGACTTGCACACACACACACATATCAAAGTTTCTTAATAATTCTACCTAATTAACACCATTTTCACATGTAATCTGCTCATTAAAGTGTAATAAAAATCTCTAATTCACGTATTTACTTCTGACTACTGTACTACAGAAAATAATCTTAAAACAAGAACATTTCAACTTAATCATAAATATTAAAGTGATAAATTTTTATTTACAAAAAAATTCGATTGAATAAAAAGAATAAGATAATTATTAGCAGCTAAAATAACAACGGTTTCAATAATTCATTAACTACTGGGGTTGGGTGTATTGTACCTATTATGTAACCACCTTACTATAACTTCCCATAATGCAGCTAAAATAACAAAGGTTTCAATAATTCATTAACTACTGGGGCTGGGTGTAGTGTACCTATTATGTAACCACCTTACTATAACTTCCCATAATGCAGCTAAAATAACAAAGGTTTCATTAATTCATTGACTACTGGGGTTGGGTATATTGTACCTATTATGTAACCACCTTACTATAACTTCCCATAATGTGGCATATCTACACAAAATTTCACAAACTATCAGTAAACATTACAAGGCTTTTCTACACATAATAACAGATTTTTTAATAAAGTAATTTAATTGAAGATTTGCTCATGAGTTTTTGCTTTCAGAATGTTGATTATCCAACATACAAAGTTATTTTGATTTTAAGATTAAAATTACTTTTCTTCATCTAAATACTCAGATTTCATTTGAGTAATCTTTATAACCTCCTAAATAAATACCCAACGTTTTTTGAGACAAACTCTATATTTTATCTGTTATTTTCTCTACCCTAACTCTATACGGGATTGGTCAAGTTAATAAACCTCGTAACCACCATAAAAAATAAATCTAAATTACCCTGTTTTCTTTCTAGAGTGACTGACAATTGTAACAGGAAATTACAATTCTTTGTTTTAAATAGCTTAAATCTCGTAACAGTATAAATTAAGCATATTTATTAATTTTTTTGTTTCACTGACCTTCGAACTGTGACTGACTAATAGTAGTGCCACACAAGTTGTGAACCATGCATCACACATGCAGCTCATGTTACTGTATCAAATAGCATAAAGCTAACCTTTACAAAGTACAAATGTCTTACTCTTTTTTAGTCTTAGGAATAGCATTCTAATATTTTGTAAAATACATTGACATTTCAGTTAACATCCATTACATATGTATATATATTATTACTATTTGCAAATAAATTCATATATTTCAGCTATTCTCTTAAAACAGTAAATAAAAAATATCCAGATGTTACAAAGCTTTTGTACTCATGTGTCATAGTAGTTAAGCCTCATCATATTTTGTACATACAGCATGTAAAAACAAAAAATTGTAGGTTTTATAGAATAACAAAAAAGTTATAAATTACTATACCAATACCACAAAAATCCACTGTGACTTCCTAACTAAGCTGTATTTGGGTCTTTTTTTCTGATTATAACAGTGCCATGATCCACACTCTTTGAACCCTTCAACAGCTATAATGGCTTTACCCGTGTAAATACTTTAGGAAGACTGACAGGATTACATAATTCAAGATGTCACTAGAGCTACTGTGGTGGGTACACTAAATATAATGACATCTCAGCAAATATTCTAGCTTGTCAATATAGTTTCTAATTTGTTAAAAACTATAGACTTTACATTTTACGACACCCACAATACAAACTGAGTAAAACCAGATGATGATGTACTATGTGACACACAAAAAAATCAGTATTTAACTTCTTTTTTTATAATACCTACTTCTCAATTAAGAAATTAAATAATGTATAATACTAAAATTTTAATTATAAAATACAATTTATGGACATACATTCATAAAATGATAGCTTGATATAATTTTGAATGCAAATCCACATAACACAATCACATGTATTTACCCCCACCCCCTGCAGTTTCCACATTTTGTTGCCATCTGACCTTGCAATCATGAAACTTTTAAATCGGACATGATATTTAGAGTCTACACAATCTACTCTAAACTGAGAAAGCTAAAAAATGCTAATATTACATAAATAAGTTAGATTTTCAAAGAAAATTAGAACACTCTCAATTGCATAAGTATTCAACCCCTTTGTTATGGCAATCCTAAATCAGTTCAGGTGCAAAAAATTAGTTTGAAAGGTCACAAAATTAGTGTAATAGTCTCTGTCTCTGTGTAATCAAAGTGGTTTAACTTGACTTCAGAGTAAATGCTATAAATGACATAGCTCTTTGTGTCTAGCCCATATAAACACAAGCTATAAATAACATAGCTCTTAGTGTCTAGCCAATATAAACACAAGCTATAAATAACATAGCTCTTAGTGTCTAGCCCATATAAACTCAAGCTATAAATAACATAGCTCTTAGTGTCTAGCCAATATAAACACAAGCTATAACATAGCCCTTAGTATCTAGTTGATATAAACAACATAGCCCTTAGTATCTAGTTGATATAAACACAAGCTATAAACAACATAGCCCTTAGTATCTAGTTGATATAAACACAAGCTATAAACAACATAGCCCTTAGTATCTAGTTGATATAAACACAAGCTATAAACAACATAGCCTTTAGTATCTAGTTGATATAAACACAAGCTATAAACAACATAGCCCTTAGTATCTAGTTGATATAAACACAAGCTGTATATAAGAAGATCAACTGTCCAATTTCAAAATCCTAACTTCTCCAGTTGCCGAGATACCAATACATTTTTCCAACCCATGATAGAAATCCTGCACATCCATCCTTAAATTTCAAGGTAGTTTTAAAAATGTGTTCTTAGTTGATGTACATGTTTACAGCTAATAGACAGTTATAAATTTAAACTGTCCTTTTTAATTTGGTGCCAACTGACATTAATTCAGAGGAAGTTACTGATACACGTGTGAGTGAAGTTGTTGCAATAACAGAATTTTTTACCTGATTTATAGATTAGTTAGAAAGCCAGTTAAATGACATTAGTTTGAGGACATTATATTCTAGTGTCTGATATATTTGCGTGTTCGAAACTACATATTTCAAGGTACGTCAACTTTTGTTTTGGACCATAAACTTAGAGAAAAAACTAAACCAGTTTAGCTATGCTTTCAAGTGTGTATATTTAAGCCATCTCCAAGCATTATTAGTTTCAAAGTGGGTTCCTCGTCATCGAATCTGCTAATGTGTTTAATCTGTGTTCACGGAAGAATAAACTACTAACGTAGTACAAGAAAATGAAACCAAAATAATTAAAAAGAAATTATTTGTTTAACGATTAACTGTTAAAACTGTGAACATCATTAATTGAAGATGTGGCAACAAGTAACAAATTCAAAGAAAAAAAGGTGAAGTTCATGTTATTTCACAATGTTCTCTCTAAAAATTTCAATGAAATTGATGATTTAGGTATAGTCAGTGTTAGGGTTGAGAAAATAACAGATAAAATAGAAAATGTCACTGGAAAAAAACGTTTGAAATACATTTTAGAGGTTCTAACAGTTAAGAAAATTAAATATTACAATCAGATTAAAATCACCTTACATTCAGACGAATCAGTAAAAACTTAATACATTCAGAGCCAAAGATTTTGTACAACTCATTTACTTTTTATTTGTGCATACAATAGCCTTGTAATGTTTACTAAAAGCTTGTCATATTTTGTGAAATTATACCTAGTACATTCAAAGTTATGGTATTTATAACATTTATATTTACATGGTGGTTACGAGGTTGGTCAAACTGACCAAGTTTTGATGGACTCTTACAGAAAGACTTCAAAACATTGATTAGTTATAAGTTAATTAATATACTAGCAAAAAACAACATAACAAATAACATATTATGAGCCAGTCATTACTGTGTTCCATGTTAGGTCAGCAAAACACCTTTAGATAACCTTAATTACTTTATGAATGGGTATAACAACATGCATAATACAGTTTACTATACACAAAATAAAAAAAGCAATATAAACAAGATTTCTCTTACATAGTCCAAGCATTATAAATGGTTTCATATAATGCCTTGAATGAAATGTGGATATACACATTTCAGACAGCTATAAACATACTAAAATAAAAAGAAAACTATTTCAACTCAAGCTACATTTCTACACTTGAATTTTTTGCCTGTATAATAATGTTTTAATCACATTTCTTGAAATGGCTAATGCAAAGAAGAGCATTTCAGTTCAACTGTAAACTGTTGACATGAATACAAAATGGTCTTGGATATGTTAAATCAAATAATAAAAACCTTCTCATCTATTATAAGTATTCTAATGAAATTATAAAAAATAAAAAGATATTAGTAGAGAAAACCTATATAATACTAGACATGTTCAATCTTTCTCTATTTCAATTTTGAAAGGTTATTACACAATATTTTCTAACACCAGTAACTTTAAACAACAAAATAACACCACACATTTCATTTGAAAATAAAACTTACCCCACGGGATCCTTTTATCCCTGTGAGAGGAAATCCAAAACAAATCACTGCTTTAACTTTCTCTAAAAGAGACACCTATAGAAAAATAATGTACTTGATTATAGGCTTTTTAAATTTAGGAAAAATATATTCAGTATTTACTGTCACACATCCATGTAGTGTCTTTCAATATTGGCCAATTTAAACATTTTCATTATTTTAAAACCTATTTACAAAAATGTTTAAAACACCAGAAAAAAAAAGGTTATCAAAACTTGAAACTTCTATAATTTATACAATATCTTAATCAGAAAACAAAGTTCAGGTAATTATAAGTTGAAAATATTAAACCTTATTAATAAAAATGGAGAATAAACTGATATGTTATTGGTTTTTAGGATGATTTATTAAAAAAATATTAATGTCATAGTCAAATTAAGCCTAATTTTAAAATTTCAAAATCATTTACAATTTTTATATCACAATACTCGGAAGAAATTCAACAATAAAACTCTATGTTAACCAGTGTCATTTTACAACTGTATGTTAACCACTTTATTTTACAACTGTATGTTAACTAGTTTATTTTACAACTGTATGTTAACCAGTGCTATTTTACAACTGTATGTTAACCAGTCTTATTTTACAACTGTATGTTAACCAGTGATATTTTAAAACTGTATGTTTGCCAGTGATATTTTACAACTGTATGTTTACCAGTGTTATTTTACAACTGGATATTAACCAGTGTTATTTTACAACTAGATATTAACCAGTGATATTTTACAACTGTATGTTTACCAGTGATATTTTAAAACTGTATGTTAACCAGTGATATTTTAAAACTATGTTAACCAGTGATATTTTACAACTGTATGTTAACCAGTGTTATTTTACAACTGTATGTTAACCAGTGATATTTTACAACTGTATGTTAACCAGTGATATTTTACAACTATGTTAACCAGTGATATTTTACAACTGTATGTTTACCAGTGTTATTTTAAAACTGTATGTTTACCAGTGTTATTTTAAAACCGTATGTTAACCAGTATTATTTTACAACTGTATGTTAACCAGTGATATTTTACAACTATGTTAACCGGTGATATTTTACAGCTGTATGTTGACCAGTGATATTTACCACTGTATCTTTACCAGTGTTATTTTAAAACTGTATCTTTACCAGTGTTATTTTAAAACTGCGTTAACCAGTAATATTTTACAACTGTAAGTTAACCAGAGATATTTTACAACTGTATGTTTACCAGTGTTATTTTACAACTGGATATTAACCAGTGATATTTTAAAACTGTATGTTAACCAGTGTTATCTTACAACTGTATGTTTACCAGTGTTATTTTACAACTGGATACTGACCAGTGTTATTTTATAATTGTATGTTAACCGGTGTTATTTTACAACTGTATGTTAACCAGTGTTATTTTACAACTGTATGTTTACCAGTGTTATTATACAACTGTATGTTTACCAGTGTTATTTTACAACTGTATGTTAACCAGTGTTATTTTAAAACTGGATATTAACCAGTGTTATTTTACAACTGTATGTTTACCAGTGTTATTATACAACTGTATGTTTACCAGTGTTATTTTACAACTGTATGTTTACCAGTGTTATTATACAACTGTATGTTTACCAGTGTTATTTTACAACTGGATATTAACCAGTGATATTTTAAAACTGTATGTTAACCAGTGATATTTTACAGCTGTATGTTGACCAGTGATATTTTACAACTGTATGTTAACCAGTGATATTTTACAACTGTATGTTAACCAGTGATATATTACAACTGTATGTTAACCAGTGATATTTTAAAACTGTATGTTAACCAGTGTTATTTTACAACTGTATGTTTACCAGAGTTATTTTACAACTGGATATTAACCAGTGTTATTATACAACTGTATGTTTACCAGTGTTATTTTACAACTGGATATTAACCAGTGATATTTTAAAACTGTATGTTAACCAGTGATATTTTACAGCTGTATGTTGACCAGTGATATTTTACAACTGTATGTTAACCAGTGATATTTTACAACTGTATGTTAACCAGTGATATATTACAACTGTATGTTAACCAGTGATATTTTAAAACTGTATGTTAACCAGTGTTATTTTACAACTGTATGTTTACCAGCATTATTTTACAACTGGATATTAACCAGTCTAAATTACAACTGTATGTTAACCAGTGTTATTTTACAACTGTATGTTAACCAGCGTTATTTTACAACTGTATGTTTACCAATGTTATTTTACAACTGTATGTTAACCAGTCATATTTTACAACTGGATATTAACCAGTCTTATTTTACAACTGTATGTTAACCAGTCTTATTTTACAACTGGACATCAACCAGTGTTATTTTACAACTGGATATTAACCAGTGTTATTTTATAGATGTATATTAACCACAATTTACTTTCTGCTCTAGTGCTAATACTTTAAAAAATATTTGAAGAATTAGATTTTACCCAAAGTGAAGAAGCTTTGATATGTATATAATTTCATATTTTTTTAATAAAACAAATCTAATACTTACATGACAGGCTATCAAAGCTCCAATCATCCAGCCTACCAAAACTATTGGACGTTTTGGGAATTCTGCTTTCAACTGTAAAATTATGTTAAAGGCAATTACATACTGTATACAAATATTTCTGTGTGTGTCTACAAATCGTTGTACTCATTTTAAAACACAATAACTTTTAAAAAGAAATAATAAAGACATGCTGTATATCGGGATCTAAAAAAAAGTTTTACTTCAGCTACATTCTCTCTCCAGTTTTGGTGTAAATCAGATAATGTCATACAGTATGGAGAATTCTAGCATATAGACCATTCTACAGTATGGAGAATTCTAGCATATAGAGCATTCTACAATATGGAGAATTGTAGCATATAGACCATTCTGTTGTATGAAGAATTTTAGCATATAGACCATTCTACAGTATGGAGAATTGTAGCATATAGACCATTCTACAGTATGGAGAATTCTAGCATATAGACCATTCTACAGTATGGAGAATTGTAGCATATAGACCATTCTACAGTATGAGGAATTCTAGCATACAAACCATTCTACAGCATGAAGAATTCTAGCATATAGACCATTCTGTTGTATGAAGAATTTAGTATATAGACCATTCTGTAGTATGAAGAATTCTAGCATACAGACCATTCTACAGTATGAGGAATTCTAGCATACAAACCATTCTACAGCATGAAGAATTCTAGCATATAGACCATTCTGTAGTATGAAGAATTTTAGCATATAGACCATTCTGTAGTATGAAGAATTTTAGCATATAGACCATTCTGTAGTATGAAGAATTCTAGCATATAGACCATTCTACAGTATGAGGAATTCTAGCATTCAGACCATTCTACAGTATGAAGAATTCTAGAATATAGGCCATTCTACAGTATGAGGAATTCTAGCATACAGACCATTCTACAGTACAAAGAATTCTAGCATACAGACCATTCTACAGTATGAAGAATTCTAGGATACAGACCATTCTACAGTATGAAGAATTCTAGGATACAGACCATTCTACAGTATGAAGAATTCTAGGATACAGACCATTCTGTAGTATGAGGAATTCTAGCATATAGACCATTCTACAGTATGGAGAATTCTAGCATATAGACCATTCTACAGTATGGTGAATTCTAGCATATAGACCATTCTACAGTATGGAGAATTCTAGCATACAAACCATTCTACAGCATGAAGAATTCTAGCATATAGACCATTCTGTAGTATGAGGAATTCTAGCATATAGACCATTCTTTAGTATGAAGAATTTTAGCATATAGACCATTCTGCAGTATCGGGAATTCTAGCATACAGACCATTCTACAGTATGAGAAATTCTAGCATATATATCATTCTGCAGTATGAGGAAATTTAACATATAGACCATTCTACAGTATGAGGAATTCTAGCATATAGACTATTCTACAGTATTAGGAATTCTAGCATATAGACCATTCTACAGTGTGAGGAATTCTAGCATACAGACCATTCTACACTGTGAGGAATTTTAACATATAGACCATTCTACAGTATGGGGAATTCTAGCATATATATCATTCTGTAGTATGGGGAATTCTATCATATAGACCATTTTACAGTATGGTGAATTCTAGCATATATATCATTCTACAGTATGAGGAATTCTAGTATATAGACCATTCTACAGTATGGTGAATTCTAGCATATATATCATTCTACAGTATGAGGAATTCTAGCATACAGACCATTCTACACTGTGACGAATTTTAACATATAGACCATTCTACAGTATGGGGAATTCTAGCATATATATATCATTCTGTAGTATGAAGAATTTTAACATATAGACCATTCTACAGTGTGAGGAATTCTAGCATAAAGGCCATTCTACAGTATGAGGAATTCTAGCATATAGACCATTCTACAGGATGAGGAATTCTAGCATGTAGTCCATTCTACAGTATGAGGAATTCTAGCATATAGGCCATTCTACATAAGAAGAATTCTATCATGTAAACCACTCTACAGCATGGAGAATTCTAGAGTATAGACCATTCTGTAGTATGAAGAATTCTAGCATATAGGTCATTCTACAGTAAGAAGAATTCTAGCATACAGACCATTCTAAAGTATGGGGAATTCTAGCATATAGGCCATTCTACGGTATGAGGAATTCTAGTATACAGACCATTCTACAGTGTGAGGAATTCTAGCATACAGACCATTCTACAGTATGGGGAATTCTAGCATATAGACCATTCTACAGTATGGGGAATTCTAGCATATAGACCATTCTACAGTATGGGGAATTCTAGCATATAGACCATTCTACAGTATGAGGAATTCTAGCATACAGACCATTCTACAGTGTGAAGAATTCTAACATACAGACCGTTCTGTAGTATGAAGAATTCTAGTCAAAGAAAGCAATTAATTTATGGCATAAGAAGTTCAAAACTACAGGATTGTTTTATCAGAAGTTCAAAACTACAGGATTGTTTTATCAGAAGTTCAAAACTACAGGATTGTTTCATCAGAAGTTCAAATCTACAGGATTGTTTCATCAGAAGTTCAAACTACAGGAGTGTTTTATCAGAAGCTCAAAATTACAGGATTGTTTTATCAGAAGTTCAAAACTACAGGATTTATCAACCTAAGCAATCTTTTGACAATCTTTGAAAAGGTTATTGTAGATGAGGGTAAGAGTGTAAATTTGGTGTATCTGGATTTTGAGTAAGCATATGAGAAGGTGCCACATAAAAGACTTGTAGCTAATTGGATAGATGCGTGGTTGGATGGAAGAAAGCAAAAGGTTGTTATAAATATAGTTCAGTCAAACTGGATTAATGTTGTAAGTGAGGTACCTCAGAGCTCAGGCTTAGAACCTTTGCTCTTTTTGATTTATATCAATGACATAGTTGAAAGAATGGTCAATAAATTACTTAAATTTGCAGATGATATTAATATCTTGGAAGAGGATGCTGTTGAATTACAAAAGGATTTAGACAATTTTTTAGCGAGTTGGGCAAATAAATCAAAGATGGGTTTTAATTATAATAAATGCAAGATAATGCATGTGGGTTATCATAATTTAA